CGCGATCCCGTCAGTTACGGCAGCCAAAACAAGTCCGATATTGTTGTTGCTGCTGCGTTTGAGTGGCATGAGAATGTTTGTTATTTTATTTTTTTTTTTTTTTTTTACAACTGTTTGATAGTGCACGGCCGTGTAATTTGTAATGGTTTTTCAACAAAACGTTCGGCAATACACCGCACTGTAGTGTGATAAATGGCGATTTTATTGTCGGCGGCCAACGGGCGATCGACTGTATTAATAACGATATATTATGGGTAACTCAGAGTTTTTGGTAAATTTCCGGTGGAATTCTTCACGAAATACTTGTTCTTTCGAAAAAAAAAAAAAAACGACTTATTGCGCGTAAAAACTGTTTTCGGATCGTCTGAAAAAGATTCGTTTGAAAAATACTGAAAATAAAAAAACCACTACCTCGCACTCAGGCTTACTGTTCGATTTTACTAATCTCGATGGTCTACATCAGAGGCGGCTCGAAGTATTTTCACCTCGACCCTAACCGATTTAGTTTTCTATCCGCCCACCTACGCCAACCTACAATCCTCCGCCCTACCACAAACGTATTGCAATTTAACAAGTTTCAATAAAATTCGTCAAATTTATCAAATTTCCGCGGTCTAAAATTCTTTTAACGCATTTTATTTTATAAAAACATTATATTTTTTGTCATATTTCTGAACACCCAGGCACCCACGATTCGCCCGGCGGTTTACTTTGTGCGCCCTTTCGAGCCGCCACTGAGTCTACATCGCATAATACGAGCACGCCCACGAACATGTCATAGCTCCCTCCGCTACTAGCGGCTCCGCAAAGGTCGATTTTGAAATCATTATTCCGACGAACGGCCAAATCGATTCTAACACAACATAATAATAATAACGGCTTGATGAAAACCATTAGGAATAATAAACAAAAAACCACACGTATAATAACCGTACAATATGACAGCGCATACGTTTGCGGGAGACGATATTAATATTGCGGATTCACTCGTCCGGAAATGTATAACGAACGAGTAGTGGCGTGAGCAGGGAAATGCGGCAGGGGTCCCCCTCGCCCCATTTGTGTTTTAACGCAACAACGTTTGATCTCGGGACGTGAAATATAATTCAGCCGAGTTACCAGGAAAAAATGTATTGATTGAAATTTAGTTCTTCGGATCCTGATATTAAATTGTCGAGTCAAGCGAAGAAAAATATTCTATAGATTTATTTACGATTTGCTACATCCTCCCGTTGAATCGTTGAAATATCTTGGGACTCCACTCCACTACGAACGCGCCACTATATACATAATAATAATGTTATACAACGACTCCCGGTACGATTATAATACGTCGATGTATAATTGATTTGGCCCGTGAAAAAAAGGTGCAAATTCGATTTTAAGAAAATTTAAATAAAAACTTCCAAATTTTTTATTATAATATATAAAACAAAAAACAACAAAATCGTTTTCTGGTCCAACGAGTATCAACGCGAGATCATAATAACTCGTAAGGTTCGTTCTTGCGCGAAACGATGTTAGTACCTCCCAATACTCGAAATCCGTCGTTTAAGTTAACAGTCCGCTAAGGACCGCGTGCATCAAATCAATTATTAAATCGCCGATATTTCTGGGATAGGTCTCTTAGTAGGGGCCGTCGGATTACTCTTGGCAACTGTCGAACTATTGGTAAACAAAAGGATAACGTCCCAGGATAACGGGGACGGGTGCAGCCGCTGTTATAGGTAATTTAATGTATACCTGTGGGCAATGATAAACCATCGTTAACGAAAAAACGATTCTAAGCAAAGTTCAGTTGATAGTGATGCACTGTCAACAATATATCATTTGTCATATTGTGGTGAAATAATTAAATAGGTACAATATATTTCCTTTAATAATATTTATTTAATGTACCGATTTACCCCTTTTCCGTACGTTTTTCCCGGTTGTTTACGTTTGCTGGGAAAATCGAAAAATGACCTCCCTAGAGTACCTTTCCGGTCAGATTTCCTCTAGGTCGCGGGGGGAACTCCGGAAAGATCGAGAAACCGTACGGCCGTTCCGGTCGAACGGCGACAACAATGGTCGTCGGGAAATTATTGTTATTGCCGCCGGACACCGGTTGCACTCCTCCCCTACACCCCCTCCCCACCACCCAACAACCGCCACCCCGCGGCCGTTTTCGCGACGGATCGCGACTGCTCGGGACCGTCGTCCGCGGAATGCATCGCCGTCCGCGGGCCCCGCACGCGGTTTCCGCGACAATGCGATCCGCGTTCGCGGCGCGCGGACGACTCAGAGACGCAGCGGCGGCGGCGCGGCAGCGAACAATACGCGAGACGCTGCGGCGCGCCGTCGGCCGCGTCGGGTACGCCGACACCGACACCTGGTCCCCCGTCGCCGCCGCCGCCGTCGCCGTCGCCGTCACACCGGCCGCGCGGATGCCGAGCGAGAACGTCGCGGGACGGACGACGTCGACGGCGGAATTTCCCCGCGCCCACGCCGTCGTACCCGCACAACGCGCGCGGTCCTATTATAATATTATTAAATCGTATGAAATATTTTATACGCGCGGTCCGTACAGTACAATAATAATAATATAAAAGTCAGGGGTCGTCTTTTGTCGCGCGTAATATTCTTCGGATCTCATTGTGTTCCATTTTTTTCGTTTTTCTCTTTCTTTTCCTACGCCTATATTCTACGCGCTGCGCTACCGCTCCTTCCCGTATAGTCGCGCGCGCGCGTGTGCGTGCGAGCGTAAAACGTATCCCGCGCGCCTGTATACGGTACCCCCCCCCCACACGCCTCGACAACCCGTGCACTCGGCGCGCCCGTTGCCGCCGGTTTCGTGACGTACGCACGCGGACGAGAACCCGTGCGTACGCGCGCGTATAACACACGATACGTTTGATATAAAACGATAATCGCTCGCGTACGTACGCGCGGGACGAGGGAAGAAGAGAGAGAGAGAGAGAAAAAAAAAAACAAAAAAAAACAAAAACCAGAACGCAGTTTGACGGCGGCGGCGGACGAACAATGGGGCGACGTGCGTACGGCCGTGTGTGACTCCGGCCGCCACCCGTGTCGCGGGCCCGCCGGTCCGGGGCGGCGCGGGGCTCGGCGGCCGCGCATTGTCACGTCGTTGTCGCCGTCGTCGTCGTCCGCGCACCGGCAAAAGTGACGGCCCTCGGCCGTATGAATAAACAACAATACGATATTCGCGCGTGAATTATCGTCGTCGTTATTACCGTTGTTGTTATTACTGCCGCTCCGTATTCCACTCCCGTTGTTATAATACACGGTCAATTGGGGTAGGTCTCTGCGCGCGCGGTACGGACGCGCGGCGGGTTGGAAAACAATCGGTTCGGTATATCAATCGCGCGCGCGTTCCTTTTTCTTTCCTTTCCCCCCCCCTCCGCCCCCGTGGAAATCCCCGCGGGCTCGTGGCGCGCGGGAAGGGCCGGCGTCGACGAATTCAAAAACCAATCGGAAATTTGAAAAAAAATGCCAATCGGAAATCGACGAGTGAACGTTGAGAACACAAAAAAAAAAAAGACGAATCGATTTTACGTTTTTCGACCTCTTTCGCGCCGAGTCACAGACATAACGCGTGTAGGTGCCGGCACGCGCGTATTAATACGATACAATTACGACAGTACCTCGTCGTACACAGTCATAATCGAGTACGACGTGTAATCGAATGCGTACTACCGCGAATCGGGCTGCATTCGAATCGGGTCCCGGGCCCGAAGCGGTTTCGATAGGTTTTTGACGGATAAGAATCTCGAGTATTACGCCCGGCTGAGTCTCGGCTGTCGGCAGGTTATATTGCACTAGTTGGATCCGAACGTTTACGAGGCAATACGAACGGTTTTCCTTCTCATTTTCAAGGTAACGAAATAAACGATAAAATATAATAGGTTTTGCTATTTCCCCGGGTCTGGGTATTTTATCGTTTTATTATTTTTACGGACATCGGGATATCGTGCATATATTTTTCCGAACTCATTAGTATATTCGTTCACCGATAACTCGGAACCCAACTCAGTGTATGACTTGTCGAAACCCGGGACCCAACTAGTGTAGCATACCCGCGGGAACCCGGAACCCAATATTAGTATTGTACCCGCACTAACCCGGGACCCGACTGGAGTAGAATTTCGAATGCGGGACACAAATCGGACGCGTCGCCCGAATGCGCGCCGAAAAACAAAATCGTGGCTAACAGTCTTAACTTTAACGTCGGTCGCGAATAGAGCACACTATTATTCGGCCGTTTTTTGTATTTTTTTCTTCTAAATTTAATAAAAAAAAAAAAAAAACACGCGGAGTAATGTTCAACATTGTTTTCGGACATACATTTTCGATACCGAACAGACGTGCCAGAATGTTACGGTTAATCTGATCGGACGACGACGCGATCGCCGCGTGATCGGCGTGTGCTGTTCGCGAATTTTTAAAAACTCGAGTTTCACCTATAATTATTACATCGATTTCCGCCGTCGCTTCGGTTCGAATCCACAAATCGAAACATTATCGTTTATCAGGTCACACACACACACACACGGCCAATACCCATTGCGTATTGTTGTGAAAACCTCGCGGTCTCGTTTATCAGTACCGCGTGATGACGGCGCGAAAAACAGCCCGCCGTTCGGCTAATGCCGCCCGCAGAAACCGTTAAAAACACTAATATACGAGCGTGCGTCCTTTTGATCCCCGCGCTACGTTGTGCACTCCATACTACTAATGCGTGTGCGTGTCGGAGCTCATCGTCGACCCGCTGCCGCGACGACCGCTGCGGCGGCCGCGCGATCGTCCCGCTCACCCTGTACATGTACAGGGTACATGCTATCGCGCAGTATATCATCTAAATGTGCGGAGGGCCGCCGGTTGCGAGCGACGAGGGTCGTCCCTACAGGGTGGAGGGTGACGGGTTGCGTGCGTGCGTAGCCGCGTATTGTCGTTTCCGGCGCGCACCGGAGTCAGTTAGTCGCCGCCGTCCGTGCAGTCCGCCGCGCGATGACCGATTTCACAGCGCGACAGTCGCAGCAACCGGCACAGCAACCGCAGCGGCCGCAGATGCCGGTGGCGGCCGCCAGACCGCCGTATTTCGATTTTAACGACATTTTCGGTTCCGCAGGGAAAAAACCGTCGCCGCCCGTGACGTCCACCGCGACTACGGCGGCCACGACGTCCGCGACGACCGCCGGAGGTGGCGGCCCGGGTACGGCCACCGGCACGCCGACGATTGCCATCAACCACCACCACCACCACAACAACAACAACTCGAATAACAACAACAACAACAACAACAGCGTCAAGCAGTCTTCGGCGGCCGGAGTCCAACAACAACAGTCGGCCGCGGCCACGGGCTGTTGTCCCGTGTGCGGCACGGCGCTGCGTACCGCCCACGAGCTCGAGTCTCATTTTGTGTGGGAGCTGGAGCGGCTGTACAAACAAGCGGCCGTGGCCGGCCGCCGTCACAGACGGGGCACACCGGACAAGATGGGCGATCACCATCACGGTCAGCTCATGGTCTGCGCCAGAGACGGCGGCGGCGGCCGATTATCGCCGATCGCCAGTGGCAGTAGAGACGGATCGTTGCACGGCCGCTGGGAGGTAATTTATTTTATTATTGTGCTATTTCACCTACCTGCCGGATCGCATGAAAGCGTACCATACATTGTCAGAGACACAAAGTAAATAGTGAGCCCTGATTGGTTGTATTTCGATTAATAATATGTCAACAGTTGTATGATGATGGTGATGACTAAAAAATCATAAAATAAAACGCAGCTGTAATTGTGGAATATATTTGCACAGGTGACAGAAATATAGTCAAAACAGAAAAGCCGAAAAAAATGTTTAAAATGTGTTACACTTAACGTAGTTTAAAAAAAACCGTCTAGAGGAGGTCTCCTAGCTAATAAACGTTTGTTACCTCTTGTTACTCTTAATGGTCTTTTCGCAATTGTATTCGGCCGTAATTTAATCTCTTTTTTTCAAAAAAATACAGTTTCCAGCTGTACGTGAATTGAATATTTTTTTAAAATGCATTATGTGTAATAAGTACTTGTTTTTTTTTTCCTTTTTTTTTTTTACTGTATTTCTGTTTTTTGTGCAAATGTTTTCATCGCTACAGTTATATTTTATTTTATGATTTTAAGCAATTATCGTAATCATAAAACTGTTGGCGTGTTTTCAGTTAAAATACAACCAATCAGTGCTCTATATTTATTATGGGTCACTAGCAATGTATGGTATGCTTATATGCTACCGGATTTATGCCAATCGGTAGCGAACTTCTGTTTATCTCGAGTCAGAGTGACAAACAAAATAAACAGAACTGATAATAAATAGTAAATAATTTCACACAAGTATATATTATTATTATTGGTAGTAGTAATTATAACATATAGTAGAAAAAAAATAATAACAATTTTCGACAGTAATGTTGAGCATTTCTTCATTGTGGCCACTTCTGGTTTAATTTTAAGCGATAATTATTTAAAAAGCAATATAAATTGACCGGAAACGAAAATCTAATTATTTTTTTATACTGGCGGATACATTTTTCTTTTTTAGAATTAAAAACGACCAATTTTCATTTAACGAAACTTTTAAAATTATAATGGTTATTAATAATATAGTAATTACGAAATTACTATTATTCGTTTTTTTTTTTATTATTAGTATTATTATTGAGGGCTCCGGATCAAATGATAGGCCGTGGGCCGACTCTCCGAAAGGTTATATTTGTCCATCGCTTTTAAAACTGTTTTCGAACCGATAATGACTACAATATTATTTTCCTCTCCGATAGACGTACCAAAAGGTCAAGGCCAACCGACACAACAGATTGCGGATCAAGAACCGCAAACGGAAACCCGAAGAAATGTTACTGGCGCCGTCAACGTGCTGTTGTCCGGTTTGCAACGAGCCCATAACGGCCGCCACCCAAGAACAGATGAATGCACATGTGGAAATGTGTCTGAGAAACAAGGTACGACTGCCGACCCAGCACCACGGTTAAGTTAGGTTTGGTTTTAGGTTTGGTGAACGAGGTACAATACTGAAGTATTGTCGTAGGTAATAATGTATAGTGGTTGAGAAAACACCAAGGAGCGTTAAACCAATCCACTAATCGTCTCCCTGATATCCGTCATATTAATTTTGGGAAGGCAAAACAATTTTTTTTTTTTTTTATTCTTATTTCAACAACACCTATATACACAACATATTTAATATTTACATTACAAGCTGATATCTCCTCATAAACCATATAAGCCAAATAAACCATTTCTAGATTAGGAATATTCGAGAATATACTTTAGCTCATTAAAAATATAAAAAATATTTCCTTATCCGAGTAATAGTCATTTCTATATGGCATTTCCATTTTAAGTACTTGTCAAAAATTACACCTAAGTATTTGGTTGAACGTACTCTAAATATAATCCTACAATTTTTATCACATAAACCTGTTGTATTATTTTCTTTACAATTACTATTATGTAATTTAATTTCTATTTGCATGGAACAATTAACACTATAATGTCATTTATGCGAGTTATAAAAGTTATAAAAAAAAGGATAGACGTACATCGCACTTAGGTGCAGCCACTGTTGTATGTGAGAATTTGGGAAGGTAGGTTACACACGGAAATTTAATGTTTTCCTCATTAACTCGAATACTAATGAGAATTTCAAAAAATTACCTCTTTAAAGTACGACTCAGAGAACATTTTTTTTCAGAAAAAGTGCAATACTTGATAATCGGAGTAAAATTTCTGGTAGAAAGAGTGTTAAAAAAAAAAAAATTATTATAATAATATAAAAATAAACATCATTTTTAAACTAATATAATCCTCGCTCCACTCAGAATCTAAAATATATGCCGGAAGAGTAAGTATACAGGAAAGGATAATGAACCAGTAAATTGCAGGATATCGGTATTCATTGTTAGTATATCAAAATATTATCATGTTACGCGCATGTAAAAATGTTTAAGCGAATATTTCTTTTTAATTGGATTTTAAAAATATTTGTCGCTATTTGAAAATCAATACTAGTAAAATTATGTAAGATCGGTTCTATATAACGGTGTCGAAAAAATACCAAAATGCAGTGCTCTATAGACTAACTGAAATTGTGGCCGAGTTCATAATCCTAGTCGGGGCTTTATTCTATAAATATAAATTGTTCAAGTTATACTCCCAAACTATACGGTTTATCAGGAGGGTAGGAAGCAGAAAATAAAAAATTTAGTGTAATGTAGCATTTTTTTTTTTTCATACAAGTTTTAAAATAAAATGTTAACGTATCAAATTTGAATCATAAATATTACGGTCTTTCAACTATATAATATAACCGTACTTCGCTCCGAATCGTTTTTCATTAGTAATGGCTATCATGACCTTATTTTTTTCAAGTTCCGCCGTACAACAATGACACATCCATCTCTAGTAACAGCTCTCTTTTTTTCTTATTTTGTGCATTACGCCCGGTAAAACTATTGTCTGACACGAGCCGTCGCGGAATTTTCAGGGTCACCCGGCAGTGGCGGTGACCGCCGTGACAAACGACGATGAAGACGAAAACGTGGATGTGGAAGGCGATACCGATACGACCATGTACGATATTGTGTACGGCGGAGTCGGTGGTTGGCCCGGCCAGCAGCAGCACAACAGAATCAGACAGCAACCGATGATTCTACACAGAGGCGTGTACAACAGAGGTGAGTCTGTATTCCGGAATGGTATTCGAACAAGTATACATAATTATCCGTATAAATATTTATCCTCTCGTCGACACTCGGTTTTATGTTCCCATAAATGTTATTTGACGCGGGAGCGTATTCTGAAATTTTTCCGGGCGAGAGGCTTATCACATTACGCATTACAACATAACGAAAATTAAATGGTAATGGTGTTAAAAAAAAAAAAAAAAAAAAAAAGCCTCTATTAAAAACAATAATTTATATAGAGTTCCAGAAATTTTAGAGAGAGAGCTCCAGTTCACTCAGTTCCACCCTCCCGGACGTATCCAGATACACCACTAGTTCATCACGTGTAACATTGAATATGGGATTTTGTTTTACAGCGCGTTCTTAAGGACGGATTAACATTATGATTTTTCGGCAATTCTCCTTAAACGCGTTTAAATTTTTTAAATTAAAGCCGCACCAATCAATAGGATAAATTAGAAAATGCGGATATGGAAAATAATTTCCGCACGTACACATTTTGCGTTCAGAATTTAAACCATAAATTATCCTATTTCAATATGTTTACCCACATTCTAACTCTTTCATCCCCCCCGCCAACACATCAATGATTTACCCATGGACATGTATATCGAATATACAATTAATTTGTCACTTTTTTTTGTGTGTAAAAAAAATCTGTAATTAAACAAAATCAATTAGGACGGTCGGGGGTTGGACCAAATTTTATCCACTAGCTTCATAAACAATGTTTTTGTAAATTTTATTACACAGGTATTAAGCCACAAATGTATAACACACAAATATATAATTGAAAATATATATATATATATATATATATTAAAATACAATATAAAATTAGTCAAATAATTTTATTTTTTTTCATACACGATATTAATTACGTACAACTTTTTTTTTTTAATAATTATAAAATACAATATAAAATTAGTTAAATAATTTTTAATTTTTTCAAAATAACTCAATACAGATTGCTTTGCACAGTATTCAAAAGTGCCGTCGACATAGAACGATTACTGTAACGAACATAAGAAATTTAAGTTTGTAATCGTGGAAAAAAAAGTAATATAATTTAAAATAGTTTAAAATAGTGGTGTTAAGTAGTGGTTTACCTATTTTCAAATTTAAAATGTATTAAAGTATAGTGGCTCAAGCACCGGATCTGCTTGCTATAAATGTAAAATTTTAGTAGCTCCGTATTGACTGAGTTTTGAAAAAAGGTTCATTTTGGACCAATCCCCGGGACTCTCTCCCATCAATTATTTTATGGTTTAGAATATGGTAAAATAATATTCATCGATGAATCGTGGAAATCGACAGGTGGAAAAGATAGGTGTGCTCATCAGGCTTGGATAGTATCTTCGGTATAAGTGTCTTGTATTTTTATTGCGATACTGTCCTAAAAGTATCGTTATTATTGTATTGCGATGCTGGATTCAATTTATCTCTCCGTGGTATCTATATAGATACTCATTTTGAAGTGTCTTGTCCATCGTCGCTGCTTAAAAAAACATATTATAGCGACACCCGCAACGAAAACGGTCGTAACTCACATTTTACATATTATGTTATTCTCGTAACATTAAACCAATTTTAATTTTTCATTTTTTAAATTAAAAATATTTTTTCCTCAACTCTCTTTGTAATGCTCTTCATAAATCGCACCGTTGGTCATTTCGGGTAAATGTTTGTGCGTTGGCCATTATTAATATTATCAAGGTACAAAAAACAAAGTCGCGAGTTACGACAGTTTCCGTCGGGGTGAGTCGAGGTGATGGACACCGTTGAATTCCGCAGCGCGTTATGCATTTTCAAAAACGACGGTATAGCACAATACGTATTGCCGTCCATATCGAATGCGCCGTTTCTGAAGGACTTTCGTTTTGTTTTGTGCACAGGCGCCGCGGCAATGCCCACGGCGATCAACTGCAGCACCGGGAACCCGCAGGCCAGACAGTCGGCCGCGGGAGAGGACTCGACCGGACCCGAAGACGTGGTGCTGGTGGTCGACGACAACGACGGCACCGGCAGTTTATACAAGTACGGACCTAACCAATACGCCGAACGAGATATAATCGTCCCGTCACGTCCTCCTACCGGTTCTTCGGAGGGCCGCCGACTCACACCCGCCGAGTAAGCGCCGTCGTCGCTCGAAACGTCCCGAGAAAACAAACCCGGTGAAGTCGTGCCGTGTCGCGTACTGTTTCGACAGCGTTATCTCGGTTTTACACGCCGACACGTAGCACGACGGTTTCCCGACAGCCGCGGTCGAAGGGAACGGCTGTAATAAGTCACGTTAATCCCATATGTGTCCGACTCGGAGTTTGAAACGACCGCGAACATTGGTGACTTGGGTTCATCAATTGCATATCGCGTACACTATTACGAATCGCTAAACACACTGGGGAGTGGGGGAGGAGACGTATTTACAAATTTTAACATTTTTCGGGAGACAGCGTTAAACAGGGGAAAATAATGCACGCAAGAACGTAATAATTGGGTAAACAACGATAGTATCGATAGTGTAATCATTGGTTTCTAAATAATTTTTTGTTCTTAAAGCGGGTGTTTCTTCTCACTTCTTCCCCTGTTATTTCACACCCATCCGACGTTGTTTTGCACAGCAAATGGCGGTTCGTTTTCGATTATAAGTCCGTATGAAAGGATACGCACTCGATTCGGTGAGCCTTAGACCAGAACCTATGGTTTTTAATATTCCACGCAAATAACATTAGTAAAAACGATTTTCCCAATTTAAACTGCACCCTGTATTGAAAAGAAAAATTAAAAATTAAAATACTTAACATCTCTGTAAATCAAAAATGTGAAAAACGAATTGCGTGTTAATAACTTATGTTATAATGTTTAACGTTTATAGATCTATAAGTTTCTACAGTTATTTCTATGAAACATTATAAAAAAACTAAGTTGCTCAAGGGGTTTATTTTGTTTTTCTTGTAGAATTTGAAAGTTCGTGGCCTTTCTGCATTTAGCGATTCATATAATACTTCAGCGGTCTCGGTTTTATAATAAAAATTTGAATTTTAAAATTTTAAATATAAACGGCAATTCGAAATTCCTGGTCTAAGTCTAAACGACATTTTTATATCGGTTTTAAGTTCGAAATAAATAACATAAAAACCACTTTTTCGGCTTTTCTGAAAACTTAAACAAATATCGCTTATAGGTCCATTTATCACGTAGTCATCAAGGTTTTCATCAGGTCTCCGTAAAGCGTATAGAAAACCACCGTAAGTACCACCGTGTGATTCGTGAGTTCTATTTATAAACAATCATCAGTACACGAAATTCGAATTTTGAAAAATGTCGATTCAAACTGCGTCGTTTTAATTATCGATTATAGGCTGTATATGACGCCACGGACCCCGCGACGGCCGGTAGTGACGTCTGTATGGTGACCGTATTTTATATTTTATACGAATGACGCACGTATACCTATATTTGTTATCTACATAAAGATATTATTTAATATTTTTTAATACATGGTTCTTTGTTTTTATTTTTATTTTCTTCGTGTGCTTGCGCAGACAGAACGATCCGAACTCCATGGAAACGATGGACTCGTGCGAGAATGTCGGGCCGTTGGACGTGTCGATAAAAAAGGAAAACACTCAGGAAGACGGTAACGTCATGAAGCCGAAAATGGACATTGATAAATACTGCGGCCAATTCAACAATAACGGACAGATGGTCGAAGCGCTAAAAGCCCGGATCCGGGAACTGGAGTCGGTGTCCAAAACCGGCGCGGACAAATTTACCTGTCTTTTGTGCAAAGTGAGCTTAATTATTTCGGTTTCCAACTGTTAGTGCCGCATAAGTATAGGCCTTACTGCTTGTGGATTATAACACGGAACACTTGTCTCTTTTCCGGTCCATTTCACTGCGGGTTGCCTATACTGACCCTTTCAAAATGAATAGGTATTTCTCGTGGTAAAGCGTAAGGGGCTAAATAGGCAACCGTTAACATTTCATTGCGCTTTATCCATAAACCTATTATAGGTTTATAAGTCTATGGCTTTACCACTAGCAATTTACACAGTATGTCCTGTATAGTCTATAGTATTTGGTAATAGCTTCTCGGAAGATATACCAGACCAACAAACGCGAAAAAGGCCTCCGGTGGGTTCCGAAACTCTATTCACTAGATCGTATAGTATTATGTATAATACCTGTTTGACTTTAAACATTACCCCGCGTGAAGATATTGTAATATTATTTTAAAATACATGTTAAAAAAAAAAAAAACCAACCCAAAATTGGCACCAGTTTAACGAATTTATAATAATATAATATAGACAAATCCATAAAATTAAATTTCGTATGAAGTAATATTTGTCATTTCACAGGGAAATTTCAAAGATCCTGTCGTATCAACTTCATGCTGGCACGTGTACTGCGAAGTGTGTTGGTTGCAAATACTGGTAACTATATTTTATATTATAATATGACTTTGTATATAATACTTCAGGGCTCAGGTGAATGTTGCCAAACAATTATTAGCACAAAAAAATGTGGTTTTTTCACATTCTATGCGAGTAATCGATTGTTCGAGGAGTGGTTGTTCGAATAGTTTACCGAAAGTATCTATTACTTAAGCTGAATTGAAACGAGCCGTATAGATTTATTTAATTTAGGATGCACTATTATTATAATAAATGGTTTAATGGTATTTTTTTTCCCGGTACAGGGTGCTAAAAAACTATGTCCTCAATGTTACGTGATAACGCTTCCGTCTCACTTGCGTCGCGTTTACTTGTAAAGCGGTTACAGAGACTCGGATAACCGTCAACGGAGATTACTTATGTTCACCTGGACCACCAGCTACGGCTCGTCTCCTCAGCTCTCTTCGCAATTTACCAATCAAAACGACCACAATGACATCATCGATAAACACAATATTATTATTATTGTTATTATTGTTATTATTATTTTTATGATTGTGGTAATATGTAAATATCATATTTTGTTTCTTACCTATATACCTGCCAGCCTACCGTTTTTTTTGTTCGTCGAGACGTGTTCTCTCGATTTCCCGATTTATTATTATAATATTATGTACAGAATACAGATATACCTAATTATTATATTACCCTATATTTATGTATACGGACATTCTTCTCGCGCCCTTTCTCGCGTTTTTACCTAACCTCCATTCGCATGTTTGTTGGCTCTCGCGTCACTTATAAAATAATATAACGTTGATATTAAATACGTTTACTTGGAATAGCCCTCCCCCCCCCCAAACTACAGTTAATATTTTACATAGTAAAAGCTTTTTTCTTAAAGTTTTACCGACAACCACGGTTTATATAAAACAGAATTATATAATCTGTGCTAAAATAAAACCCGTAATTTTGTGTCCCTTTATCCTTTATCCGTTAGTATCACATCACTTGTAGTAATATGTCGTATAAAATATGTATAACTACCACAACGCTTTACCGATCTCTCTTTGAATGCATATAGTAATAATAATGTCACTGTTAAAATGACATAAAAATATCATCGATAATAATTAAAACTTTATACCCACCATTAAAGCCCGGGTTTAAATTCAAAATGCATTATTTTCTGAATGACCTAAGACAATGCTTTCCAAGTAGGTATATAATTTGATTCATGCAATAGATTCTTCAAAAGTATTACTTTTATTATGCATTTTTTCGAATTTTCTGGTCATTTTGTTAATTTTAAGTGCATATTTATATATTACACGAATTAATAGATTAAATTTAGATTGGTAATTCAAAATATTGCACATCTTAAGAAATTTGATTTAATAGGTTTTAGTTCTTCATCAATACAGATTTCAAATGGTTATATTCTTGATTTCAATAATACCTTCATCTAATTTTCATTAACGTTTGTATTGCGTCACCCGGTTCTAACTAAAGTGAAACTTTTATTTTGCATTTTGTGACGTTTTCTCGTTTTTCGAGTAGTTTATACATTATATTTTATACAGTTTATTTATTATATTCGAGTAAATGTTTTTCTTTTTAGGGTATTGTTTCGCTAAAAGGCCTTTTCGGGCTAATTTTTAGAGCCTTTTTTGATAGTTTTTAAGGCATTTAAATCCAGGCCCTACCCATCATAATAGAACGTTGCAACTGTCTAAATTTTTGATTTCTTTACGGGTACAATAAAATAATTTACGTACGATAGGATACCCTCCAATATAAATCATTAATTATAGTACCACTCATCAACTGCAAGGACGACATAAGTCAAACGCTTCCCGGTGCCTAAGACCAGATAATAATATAATCCTCAATCGCGAACTCATTTATTATCTTGGCTATTTACTTAATTGCATACATAACTATCGCACGATCGTATCGGTAAAAATAATAATACCGTGCGTATATTGGCCCTACCCCGTAAAAAAGATTACGCGTGTCCCAGTGTACATATTATATATCACGATAGTGTTACAATATAAAATACGAATATGTTATAAGAATATATCCGACAACCGTGGGTGCCCTTTAGGGAAAATATCCCCTTGTCAAATATTGTAAAACATAAAAAATTGTCTTTTCTTGAGCCTTGACGCACGACGCACAGCCTAGATGTTTACAATTCGCGCTTTCGTAATGAGTCAGTATCATAAGTTATGATTCATAAATTCTCGTATAACATTTTATACAGACCTTGTAATTTTATATTTATCGTGTTCTATTCATTAGTCTTTTAATGTTTGTTTGGTAATCCGGTTTCAGTTTGTCTCTCCCCTGATAATTACTTTATGGGTGCCCATGCCGGTAATGATAATAATAGTATGTATATGTTGAATAATGGTTTTCTTAGATATCTTCTTAGTATTATAAATATAATATTATACTGTTATACTAATACGTTTTACTACCCGCCTTTTATATTACGTACAGGGAGTACCGCTCTATTATAGATTGACGTTAGTCCGTGACACGTCACGTGCTATATTGTATATAAAATAGTTTAACTGCGAATTTTCATTAATTTTTATTAGTATTGTAAAAAAATAAATGTAAAACATAAATAATATATTATACATATTATTTAGGTATGTATTATACTTTTAGTATGTGGCGCGACCAGGTAACGGGTTAGACGGATCTGCTTGGATAAAAACCTACACACACACACACACACAGATTGTTTATTTTATCTAGAATTTGATGTGGAGCAAATTAACGATTTTTCGATAATACATTATAATTCTTCAGACCTCCCTCCCCCCCGCAACATTCCTTTAAAAAAATTCTGGTTGCGCCACTGACTGTTTACAAGAAGCTTAAATGAGTCGACAGCGAGTGTAAGCAATTGGCCGCCGTGCTTATACAGGAGTAAATTTACCTTAAAATTTACCCCAAAATGCTCGCAAGAAAATACGTTAAAATATTACCTTATCTATACACGGTTATCGCATACACGGCAATCCGATTTGTATAATTCGTTCGGGCGTTAAAGTCTCGAACAGTCTTAGCGCCCACTCATTTATTAGTATCGTTTCTTTCAATACTACAGTGGGATTTCATTTAATATGGGGGAAACCGTCTAAAATAGCCATAATGGTCAGCATGATAATGGTTATGTATAACGATACTCATTTCGGTTAAAATGGCAAACCACTTAATGTAGGCAAATAAAATTGGTCTCAACGTGACCACAATAAACGGAATATACTATATATTATAATAATATTATTAAATTGTCGTTCTTTATAGGAGGATACTTTTCTTGTTTTTAATATTGTGAAAGCGAATCGCAATTTGAACGATCGAAATCATAGGTAATATAAAACCGCGAAAGTTCGATTTTTTTAAATTTTTTATTACGATAGTAATCATATAATTTTATCACGTCTTCTATAACCACGATTGGTTGAGGGGTAGTTTTTCTACAAACGCGTGACGTTTACCAAAACCCACTGTAGTTTCAGATTAAAACCACTCCGCTAAACACAACGTGTTGCGGATTTAAAATGTAATGAGATTTTTTATGTGTAGATGTTTTATAAAATTGTTTTCGACGCGATCAATTACAGCCGTGTTTGAATGCGTAAAAAACAAAAATAATTTTTTTTTCCTTTAACCTATCAAAATACCAATTACATTACATGATAATTGGTATTATGTTTCTGTATCATTTTTTTTTTTTTTTTAATATGTGCATTTCTAATAATCGCTATAGTATTATGTTTCGTCTCCTAAAATAAATTATAGACTTATAATAATATAGAATATACAATATATATATTATAATATGTTTATCTTGAAATAAATATACGTTTATTATAATAACGAGAAATAAATGTTATTATAATTTTACTGTATATTACTATTATCATCATTATTATTATTATTATTATTATTATTATTATTATTATTATATTATTATACTATTATTATTATTTTTTAATATTATTATTATTATTATTAACATTATTATTATTATTATTATTATTATTATTATTATTATTATTATTATTATTATTATCATTATTATTATTATTATACTTGATGTTTCTTCGAAAATTGTGACTTGATTGTTATTCCTTTGAAGTATTTGTGGTATTATAGTGAAATCGCTTATTTTAGATTCGGAGTGTAGCGAAGAATGTATTGGTTTTACAAAGATGTTTATTTTTTTTTTATATACATAGTATATACTGTATACACAAATTCTACCAGAAATCTTGGTCCGATATGTACGCACGGCATCATTTCTGAAAAGAAATATTGTTCAGATGGTACTTATGGGGGTCATTTTTTGATTTTCCAAGTGATTTTCATAATATCTGAAAAAACCCAGAGTAAAATGTAAGAAAAACAAGACATTTTTATTTTAGTTCATTATTTTGATAATGTGATAATTGATAATTGTGAAAGCTATAATTGATAAAAGTGATAATTGTCAATAGGAAAAATAGAATCATAATTACGGGTCACAATTAGGGAAGGAGAGTTTGATAATACCAAATCGAGCTTAAAATTGTTATTATTTAGAACGGTGTTGTATTGAGAATGTTGTATCGGTGAAGCCGATTTTGCTATGAAAATAGATTCAGTGGAAAAAAGGTTTAAATTGATATTAAAAGAGGTCTTATCTAAATCGGGAAGATTTAAATCACCAATAAGTATTAAATCTGAGTTTGGATTAAACAAAATTATGTTCTCAACAATTTTAAAATATTAGGTATAGTGGTGTTTGAATTCTGAGGGAAATATACACAACTGATAATTAGTTTTTTAATAGTATCAATATTAAATAAAACAAATATTAATTTTAAAAAAACCCGTATCAATAATGAAACGAGAATAAATAAATTGATTATTAATTACTATTAATACACCTCCCCTTGTGGGTAAAGAGCTGGATGCAATAGATCGATCACATCTGAAAATAGAGTGATTAGTAAAACCAAGTTGTGAGAAAATAACATCGTTTCGTAATCATGTTTCGGAAAAAGCAAAAGCTGAACAATTATTAAGGGGAATGTTCCTTTTTAAAATATTAAGTTTAGTGTTTAAGCCCCTTACATTTTGATAATAATATTCAAAATTAAAAGAGCGGGGCTTTATAAGTTTTTTGGATTTACAATCCCCCCGTTCTTCTAACGTACTTAATTATAAGATTTGGTTCGCCGTTGGATTTTCAAGTGAGATGCTCATTTCTAAGTTAAGTCATGGAATTTTGTGAAAATTTTACATCCTTCCATGTTTCATGTGATTTTTATTTTTATTAAGAAGAAAAGATTATGATTGTTTCTTTTTGGTCAACAAAACATAATTTGATTGGTCTTTGTGTATTAGAGAGTTCTGGTAGTAGTGAGCCAAGGTGAGTAGAAGTAGTAGGTATTGATTGCAATCCGAGGAAATTTAAATTTTTTTTAGAAAAAATATCATTTAGGGAATATTTATTTAATTCAGGTAAATTATATAATAAGATATTGTTTCATCTGTTTTGTCTATCTATCAATTAAATCGTCATTACTTATAGTAGTTTTGGAGGGATGTTGTACTTCATTAAAAGTTGAAATTTTATTTTTAATAGTTGAGACTCTTATTTTTACATCCTATATTAAATACAAATATATAAATAAATAAATAAATAAATATATAAATAAATATCTTCTAAACAAAGTTCGTCCACCTTTTTTTTTTTACATTATTAATGTCAACTTAAAACCATATATTTTGAAAAAAAAAAAACTCAAAACATATTGTGGATTCTTACTAGATTCTAGATTCGTTCCAAAATATACACAATAATAAATATACAAATATGATTTTATGTATATAGATAGACCCAGATAAACTTATGTCACGTAGTACTGGTATACATACTGAGTATGTGTATATATAACCAGCCAGGAGCTGGTATACATAATATGCATAATTTATTAAATATATTAATTAATTAACGATAATCGTTTGACAGTTACATATTTTATTTAAACATTATATGATGTACCTATATTAGATAGCTTAAAATAAAAAGTACTTACTATAATAACAATCAGTTTTTATGCTCGAACGTCAATCACACAGGCACAGACACAAGCACGTGTCCATAGGTGATTGGTATATAATTATAATACCTAAAAACTGGAACGCGTAAGTTTATTATTAATACTTATTATACGTGTACTCTAAAAGCAATAATTAGAAATACGACTACATTATAATACGACAAAAAACTGCATAGAAAATAACTAAGATTAAGAATAAAAAGAATAAAAATACTCAATACTGATCAGTAGTTAGGACCACGGGGAAAAGTTAATTACTAAAAATTGCCGTTTTATAAAGTACGTGCGTGATTCGAATGAACTGAACTACGTACACAAACGGCGCATCTTATTTTCTATCACGGAAAATAACCGTTATATCGTTTATTACCAATGCAACTCTCATCCATATTCCATACAAATAAAAACACTTTTGTTACGAAAAAATTAGGATCAGGTACTTTGCCGCGCTCTAGTAGTGTAGTTCCAAACTAAATAATAACGTTAAAGTATTTGAACAGTATTCTAGTTTAGTTCCGATGAGCGTTTTTTCTGATTTGATTTTTCAAAATGTGTGTTTTTGCATGCTTAATTTTATGGTACTTTAAAAACAATCGCTCAAACTTATTTTTGATGTTATTTTCAAAAAATTTCATTAATGCTCAATTTGGTGTAACTACTAAACAAGATTAACTAATTTTTCAATTAGGTATACTGATTATGTAGGTTAAATAACTCTTAAACTTTAAAAATTTTACTCGACAATTTATTATAAAATTATAGATAAAAAAAATTATTCACCATTTCATACTTGACAAGAGATGCAGCTAAATCATTTGTGTTGTGTTGAATACTATATTTAACAATGTGGTAAGATTATTAATAATTGGAATAGCAACCTGTCATTGTAGGTAATGCATTTTTATATTTTTCTTATAAATTAAAAAAGTGTTTATTATCCAACACAAGATTAAATTCCATGTGGTCTTACTTCAGCAATAATGTTACCTGATTATCTACCTAGATATCTTATCATTTTTCTCTCTTATTATATCAATTATGGAAAAATATTATGCTTCACAAATTATATGGCCAATCTTTGGCCCTTTAATTATTTCACTCCGTCTTTCAATTCTTTTTTTCGTGAAATCAAAATTAACAACCCTAAAAGTAGATATTTCACACAAAAAAAACATAATTTAAACATTTTTAAATAAAAATAATTCACTTTAAAAACGAATACGTACATTTTTATTTATTTTGTTTATACGTTTATACATAACGTATTGGAGGGAATGTTCGTGATTAGGAAGGATGAAATGTTATATGTTCATAAAATATACATGTATAATTTTAATATATTTTGAACACATTATTTATTATTTATTGTAGATTCGACTGTATTAGGATTTACTTAGATTTACTTAGGATTAATTAGAGTACAGACAATTTTACTTTAAAAATGCTTAGTCGCAGCACTACGCCTGATCCTAATTTTTCCATAATAAATGCTTTCGTTTTAAATACAACTTGCCAGACCTAATATTCCAAGACCGTGATTTATTATAACAGTATTACCGACGTTAATTAAACGTAATTTTACCACGGAAAATAAACGAATATATATCTACGTATTTTAAATTTAATATATACCTATAATTTGTAATAAGTACTTTTTAAAAATATTTATTTTTATAATTACAAATTTTCTTATTCATTCGAATTCCGCACGTGTTTCATCATTTATCAAGTGATACAAATGTCATCACAATTCTATCATAAATAATGGAGAATCTGTCATTTGTCAATATACCTCGAAGATAATAATGTACAGAACTACACTAACAATTAGTACCACGAATAGATAAATGACTTCTATTATCAATGGTAATAAAGTAGTAACAAGGGAAGTATTATCAATTGTTATAGATATTAAAAGTCCACATGATGAAAATCAAAAAATTTAATATGAAATCAGAAACTGAGCAAAACAAGTTTATATTATGCACCACAGTTTATAATGTAAGTTAGATAAAATTTCGCAGGTCATGCCTGTGCACGCAGTAAACACGCAAACACGCCTATGGACTCTACTATGATGTGTTACTACCCATAGAGTTCGTTCTCATACCAATGTACTAAACCATTTCCCATTGACAAGGCGTTGAGCAACTTGGTGTACGAATACAAAGAAAATGTATACGAAGTTTTCAGCAAGCCCAACAATGTACGAAGCTAGTTCATCAGGAATTATTGAAAATGACTTACTATAAGAAATGGAAACGACGATTCGCTCAAAGCTTATAGATCGAGAATATTTGTAATCCATTTTTACTATTATTTGTTTATTATTTTATTATTCAAAATTAATTTCTTAAGCGGTGATTCCACGACTCGTGTATTTGTCGATTATTCGCTATTCGCGAATATTCGCCGAGTAGTGGGAACGGAGTAATTGTACAATATTGTTGATATTTTCACTTGTACATTATCGTTAATAGTCACTCGTCATCTTCTCGAGGATTACCGGTAGCCGCCGACCTATTCTATTTTCAAATAATTATTATTAATATTTTTACATCATTATTTAATTTTTCAAGAAACATAATTTTATAATTTTTTTATTTTTATAAAACGATACGAAATTAAATCATTTTCAAATCAAAATGTATTTATTACCCATTTATACCAAACATTATTTTATCTTAATTAATCTTATCGGGCGATGATCAGAAAAAAAATAAATAATAGACCTTAGGTATACCCGAAATAATTGTTATTTATACGTTCGTCACTGGACGTTCATTGCCAACAATCTTTGAGAATTTGACAGTATTGATATAAGATAATGAATATGGATAACAAATGTTATTTTTTGGTAGTGAGTGACCGAGCCGATCGAGATAGTCTTTTGTCTTTGTTTTTGCTTATGTACACTATTAGAATACCTAATCTAAACCACTTTTTTTATATTATTTTACTTATAATTTAATAGTTAATTAAATTAAAACAATCTTATCAACCAGTTTTTCAAACCTTTTCCGAAATCCACAATGATATTGAACGATGATAGTACAATAGATCAATCACAATCGAAAATTGTATAATTAAATGTTACCTTGACTTTTAACGAGTCTTCTACTTAATCTTCTAACTTAAAAGTTAAAACGTTATGAAAAGTTAATAATAGAGAAGTAATGTGTATCTTTATAAATTAAAATATTATAATCGGGTCCGTCCTAAATTTTGATCATGGACACGCCTCTAGTCACAATTTAAGATCTTGAACTGTCTTTGGTTATTCATTTTTATCACTTCATCATAGTGCAAGTTTAAGATTGTGACAAATTTTCATTTACTTGTCGATTATTCAACTATTGAATTTCATGTATAAGCGGCAAATACACGAGTCGTGGGAACCCGGCTTTTTATATTTAGAAAAAATATACACGTTCAAATTGTTTCTAAATGTAATTTATTGAATAGTAAATAAATATATAAATAAAAATGCATACAAAAATAAAAAATAAATAAATAAATAAATGAATAAATGTATTGCCTAGAGTATTATGATAAGTATATTATACAACCTTTTCGAATCAAAAATTCATCATCAAGTATATCATAGTCAAAATGTAAAACGTGACTGAATATAAAAACTAAATGAAGGAATACATAGAAAAAAAATTACAGAAATTGGTCGGTTTCCTTAGAAAAAATTTATTTTAATAGAAGAGATTATTTAAAATGAGTTATATATAAGCAACTTTATTAATATAAATCCAGCGGACTGCTCACTTTGTGAGTTGCCTTACGACACAGTTTACTGTTCAATATATTCATACATAGCTTATAAAATAGAATGAAATATAGATCAATATAAATAAAATAAAATAAAGACAATAATCAAATAAATAAATAGATAGCAAAATAGAATTACATAAATACAATATTAATAATTGTTAATTAAGAGTATAAATGATAGTTGATTATATGTAATATGTCCTGCAACACAGACAGGCATATTTTTGTGAGGTCGCTTCACTGCAGACCATGATTTTTGAAGAAGCTCAGCAAGAGTTTCGATGCGGACATATCTCTATGTATTTATTTATTTATTAACAGACATAAGTCCAAATTCATTGGCAAATCATATAATAATGAAAATTTTGTAATACCTTAAGATTAAGTAATAACTAAAAGAATATAAAAAAATTACATTAAAGTTACTAAAGTTCACATTTACAATTAACTTTATTAATTAAGTTTTCTATTATATAAATTATTAAACCACACTATAAAGAAAGGAAAAAAACAAAACATTACCTTAGCTACATGTAAATAATTTATCTATAGAAAATCTATTACTGGCAGATTGTATTAAATTAATAGGAGAACATACTAAATATTGTTTAGAACATTTTTGGATATAAAAGAGGTTCTTGTCATGTATATTGTAATGGTTTGTTTTGTTTTAAAGTTTATTAGACTTAAAAGGAAGAGATCATCAATCTCATTATTTAAACTTTTTTCCAGGAACATAGCGTAATAATTAAATGTTCTCTCATTCAAAGTTTTTAAATTTAATAATTAAAATATACTCTCATGCCCAAAATGTGATTATCTGGTAATATTGCATTTAAGATATTTTTAAAATTGGTTTGTACATTTAAATTATTATTAAAATTGTTTTAATTGCTTTATTTCATTGTACATTGATTCTTTCTTTTACTTCCAACTATACCAAAAAAAAAAAAATTAATTTTAAATAATTATTATTTTGTTTATATAAGTCATATTAATTACTGTAGTAAGTCCATTAAAGATGGTAAACCTGTTGGGATATTTTGAGCAACCTTTGGCTGATTTGATTGTTTTTTAGATTTTAAATTACGATGTTCTGGAAAGGTTGGCATCAAGTTTGGATCACACGCTGAAAAAAATCAAAAATATTACATTATGCATTTAATGGATAGACTTGTATTAAAGGTAAAAGTGAATTATTAGGAACACTTGTTTATTTTAAATCATATTAAAAAAAAATGAAATTGGGAAATCATTTTATTTTAAATCTAATTTTTACAAATTCCATTAATTTTCACTGATGAGTTTTATTACTTTGGAATAGTTTCTAAAATTTTTCAAAGTCCTATTCGATTAAACTTAAGGATTTAAAAATAGACATTAAATATATTTATCTGATCATACACCAAGTGTATATTATAAGAGATCAAGAATTAGTTTACAAAGCTAACCAAAGTAAATTTCATCCAGACAAGGCAGAACAAATTTTAATTTTAAAAATGTATATCAATAAATTGATATAGGGTCTTGGTCAAAATCCCAAATTGGTTGAAATACCAATAGTCATATTCTGTACAATATTGAATGGGCTTTCTCTGTAATACTTATTTTTTTTTTAAAGTAAAATATGTACTCTACTCTGTTATAATGTGATGAGTTATTAAATGTATTGGTTTTATTATATTAATTATAAATTTATACATTTCCTAGAATATATTTTATATATTTTATCATATACAATTTTATCATATAAAAAATCATACCTAGAATTTGAAAACTTAAAAAGAAGGAAGACTCTTTCTTTTCTATCCCTCTACTTGAACCAATGCAAATAGGTAAATATTGGTGATCCATTTAAGTGGGTACACTCATTATCTTGGAATGTATAAACTTTTTTCGGAATTTGTTTTCTAGAACATTTAAGAAATAAGCTGCTCTACAATTTTATATTTATGTTATTTTTTGTCTCCCTTATTTTGGGTGATAAAACCATTACCTACTTTTGATTTTCAAATGGTAACCTATATTAAAAATTCCATTAATAAGGTGACAAAAAAAACATAAATTATAAAATTGTAAAGCAGCTTGTTTCTTAAATCATCTAGAAATCAAATTCCGTTAATATTTTTTGAGATAATGAGTGTACCCACTTAAATTGATCACCAAATATAGATATATACCATTTAGCAAAAAACTTGCTATATTACAATTTTAAAAATATAATTGTTATTGATGTTCCAGGTACCCAGCCATTGAGTCCTCACTGAGTACTAGATTTCAGTACTTAGCTTTTATATAAATTATTACTCAGCTAACTCTGTATCCAGTTAGTTAATAAATAATGTACTCTTAACACCCCTAATTGATATATAATTTAATATAATATAATTTTGTAATTATAAACATATTATACATTCCAAAACATGTTCATAACACTGACACAAAACAATTAATTAGTTGTAGCAGGGAAAATTTAAAATAGTTAAAACTTGAAATATATAATTACGTAATGGTGTTTCAGTAAAGTATGAACTTTGGAGACTTTCTTCAGCTGTTCCTCTTCTACTTGGGTCATATATGAACAAAAAGTTTAAAAGTCGGTAACCAACATCTGATAGCTCAGGGAATCTAAAAGGATATTTTATTTTACTAAAAAGTTCAACAATTTCATTAATAAGCAAGTATAATTTTAAAAAGGTACATTACTTTGATCTAACATTATTATACGGTTGTGGTTTCAGTGTAAAATGTTTATGAGCCATTAATGAATCAAACTCTGGCCATATAGAAGAATTAGGTGTTCCAAAAAGTTTAAATATTAAATCGAGTTGATGCATTTCTGAACAGCCAGGTAATAATGGTTTGTGAACTGTGACAAAACAATTAAATTACTTATATATTAAAGTAACATAAAATAGGAATCAGTAGTAAATAGAAATATGTACGAAAAAGTTCAGCAAAAATACATCCAGTTGCCCACATATCAATGGCTTTTGTCAACATAGGAGAACCTAATAAGACTTCAGGAGCTCTGTACCAAAGTGTCACTACTTTTGTTGTCATTTTCTTTGATGGAACACTACTCAAACGAGCTAGTCCAAAATCAGCTTAAAAACAAAACAATTTTTTATTAGATATAAACTTTACATTAAAAAGGACATTCAAAGTTAATGATAAAATATATAAATAAAAAATAATTCTCTAAAAATTAATTTTTAAAATATAAGTAAACTTCAAATAAAATCCACTCACCAATTTTCAGACATCCTTTGTCTGTAATTAATAAATTAGAAAGTTTAAGATCACGATGAATTATGAAATTTGAATGCAAATATTTTAATCCTTTTAATAGTTGTAATAATATACATTTCACTTGAGCTTCAGTGAATGCAGTAGTCATATTGTGTAATAAACTGGATAAGTCATGTTCACAGTACTCCATGGAAAGAAATATGCTTAAAAATACATAGAAAAAAAAATGTTAAGAATATTATTTATGACACATATAATATAAGAACAAATATAAGAATTGTACTGTACAAATAAAAAAAGTCAAACTAAGCCAAGAGTAGATTATAGTATTTGTGTTTCAGCAATACATACTTCATAATAATATAGGTATACAAAACCAATAAACAGTCAACATTAAACAATTTACAGTGTATTTACAAGCAATATTGCTAACATAATTTCCATAGCCAAATAAGTCTAATACTATTAACTTATATATATATATATATATACTATATAACTAAATAAATTCTGCAAATCAAAATAAATTTAAACTTTATTACATTAAAATTAAACATACATTTTTTTTAATGTAAATTTTTAACAATACAAATACTTTACAAATAGATTTTTATTTAATTTAGTACACAAACCAACTTGTAGTTAACAAATATTTACCTATCTAAACGCTTGCCTACTACAATTTCATGAAGACGCACAATATTTTCATGATCACATTTAAATAATAATGATATCTCGCGAATTGCACTTATTGGTAATCCTTCTTTTTCATTTTCCATACGAATTTGTTTTAATGCAACAATTTGTTCCACTGGTGACTTTTTATCTTTTGCACGATCTTAAAAGTTTTAAAAATTAAATTAGTTAGCATTAATATATGAACAACATCAAAACAATACTAAAATGAAATACTATATAGGTATTCAGTTGACTGATTCATTTTTATTTTGTATATTTTAAATTATAAATGCAGCAAAAAATGTATTAGTATTAACATTTTTTTTTGTCAACAACTTTTCTATCAGATATCTTGCTTTGATCATCAACATCAGGGGAGGTTTCTGATAGCAAATTTTGTATAATTGGTGCATATTCCTTTTAGTTATTCTAATAATTAGGAAAAACATGAACATTTAAACAATAATGATTCTAATGTTTACTGTTATTTTCTGATTTGATATGAATACAATTTTTTTTATTCATAAAAATGTTTTAACATTTAACATAGGTTCATAAGTTATACTTAATGATAAAACAAAAATGTTGAGTGTAATGTAGGTAATAGTTTTTTTTAGAAGTAATTTAAGTTCAATGAAAAAATAAGAATCACAGTATTTTAAAAAATATTAATTAAACTGAACTCAGAATCGTTTTTTTTTTTTTTTTTGACAACAAGAAACATTCATTAGCAGTATTAGCTTTTATTTATAAATTTAAGTACTCATATTAAAAAAAAAAAAACACCAACATTTAATATTTTTTAAAACAAGGTAATTAAAAGTAATAGTAAGAAGACACAAACTACCTAAATTATTTGCGAAAGGAGAAGTCAGCAAAGTTAATAAAGAAGCATTCTTTGAGTCTAAAGAAGTTACAAAACTAATAAATAATAAAATAAATAAATAAAATTGTTGTTCCAATGTGTAGCAGAATAATTTAAAACACATATTGTTACATAACACTAAAAAGGGGCGAATTGTTTATAGTCAATAAATGATTGATGTATAGTAAAATTAGTAATGGATAGATGATAAAATTAAATATTTAACATACAAACAACACCATATGTTCCTTCGCCAATTCTATTCAATTTATCAAACTCTGATACGAAACGACATTTCCCAAGCTAAATGTGGACAATAATAAATGTTAGAAAGAAATATTTTTGTATTTGTTATAATGTGTATACTTACTAAATCTTTTTTCGGTATTGGCATAGGTTTAAGATCCCGAAATGAAAATAATTGACCGGTAAGTGTTATAGGCCTAGTAGGTTCGTATTCTACTACCGGTTTTGATACCTGTTTTGATACTTGTTTTGATTTCCATTTTTTTAAGACTTTTAAAATTTTTTTTTTAATATTTTTTTTGTATTTTTTATTCTTGCTTGAATGCTTTTCTAAAATACACAAACGTTACAAGACTTATGTGAAAAAAAAATTGTAGATAGAAAAAATAAATTTCAAACATACTCTTTGTTTTCCCCATGATTTATTGATTTAATTAAATATAATCGTGAAAAATATCCGTTGTTTATATGAGTTGAAACTTCACAAAAATTGTCAGAAACACAAAATGAAACTCAAAAACTTAAACAGAAATAAAGAACACAGATTATAAAATTACAATATGAATATTGTGATTTTTTTGTTGATCATAATGACTAATGGCCGATGACGTTGCAATAAATGCCAGCAGTTATCATTGAAAGGCATCATTTCCACAGTTTTATTTCATTGAAATAGGTTCCTACACTGTCTAATTTGTGATAAACAATTTAAATTTGTTTATATTCACAATGGATGCCAATATGGCAAAATAAATTAACACTTGGCACACTGTTAGTACTTTGGGCGGGCAGATACCACACCGCACAGAGTCGGGACTGTGTTATCAGGATATATGTATTTACCCGGCTATTTACTATTTTAAATATTCAACTGTAAGCACGATTTTTACATAAAATCGTAATAATTAATGTTTAAACGTATCTTTGTCACTATTAAAAATATTTTCCTATGCAAATTGCACTTTAAATTCTCGTAATAAAATAGAAGGAGGATAAATATTAATAAAAGTCAAAGATCATATTATGTGGTAAAATTGAAATGGTAAATATGAAATCAGCTATGTTCAAATATTTATTATTATTATTTATTATTATTTATTAAATGTATATATATAATATTTCATAAAATAAACAAAACAAATAATACAGATAAGTATCGAACAAATAGTTCTTTTTTATACAAATTTGTTATATTGTACATGTGTAGCATGACATCCTCTTAATACTTAATAAATAATATAATCTAATATCCAAGTATAAAATTGTTTAGGAAGTAAGTCTGTCTAATGAAAATATTGGTTGGCTTATGTCATTTCTGTAAATATGCATTTTATTAATATATACTTCGATACTTACAGTTTACTTCAAATAAGAACAATCATTAGAAATACAATAAAATTAATATTATTATGAATAAGTAGGTACTTAGTCTAAAATATTAATTAAACAACACAATGAAGTTTATAATATTTAATTAGCTTAATTTATAATTTATTTTAAAGAAAACTTTAAAACTACCATTTTTTTAACATAAAAATCTTTATTCTTTTTTAAGGACTTCAATTAATTGCCATATAGTTGAGGGAGATGAGGCTAACAATGATGAAAAGGCTTTATGCTAACCTTCAACAGGGTTGTTAGTTTTAAGTGACTACTTTAGTTCTATAGTCATTGGCATCCTGGTTTGTCGTGTTCTACAAAAAAAACTTTAAAGAGTAAGTAATTGACTCCCTCTAAAAAATTTAATACTTAATTAATCCATTTTTATTAGATTAAAAATAAATAAATATTTATTCTGACATAAAATATATGTATTGAAACCCATTTTTGTTTTACAAGTAATTTCATTATTTAGATTTAAAAATAAATCTAAAAATTATGTAACTGATTATGTATTCATTATTTAATCATGAAGTGCGTAATTTGTTATTTTTGGATTTCTTCTTTCCAATTATATTTCTGTATTTTATCTTTTTATCTTTATTTGTTAATTATTTTTCAAAACCAATTTATATTAGCGTCTATCTTTTATTTTAAATCAACTTGTTATTTATTCAATTATGATTCTAAATTGAGAATTAAAATTTATATTTTTATATAGAAAATCATAAATATAATTACGAAAGGGCTTTTTTTAAGAACATGGAATGATACTTATATAAAAGCCTGGATAATATTGTGGAATGCAACAGATAAAGCATCAGTTTGTAAAAGGTTCCTTGATGAATTTTATATGGATTATTACAAGGAATTCTTCACGGTAGAAATAATAATAATTAAATGAATGCGTGTAATTTACAATTTAGTTTTCTTTTTAGATTTTTTCAAATAAATATGATCTGAAGGTATATATGTTGGGTGTATTGGGAAATGTTGCCGAAATTAAAAAATTTCGGTCAAGACTAATGCAACATCAAATTATTTAAGTGTTGACTGATCATTTGTTTTCAACTTAGGAAAGAATTGAAGTAACAAAAATTATTTATATATTTTTTCTGGTTTACCAAGCAGTTACGTTTTTTCCTTTTGTATAGGTTAGTTATAATGCTGCTAGAGTTATTGCATATTTAACTCAGATAGTCATGAAATATAGTATGTAAAAAATCCTGCAAGATGTGAAGTATTAGACCACATGACTAAAGCTATACTAAACTGGAATCTAGATGCCCAACTATAACTTAACTATCATTCTTTTGAATCAATATCACAGCTGATTCAAGTAAAGTATACACATCAATGTGCTCATTGGGCAGCTTGAGCTTTAACAAATATCACTAAAGTATGCTATAAGTATAATATTTAATTGTTTAAATTTTTTTTTTTGTGGTATTCTGCTATTTAAAAAAATCAACCTTGACCTCTCCACTCTTCTTTGATCATTTCCGTTGAACATCAATCAACTCCAGGTCTTAGTTTTTCTAAGTTTTTAAATATTATTTTCCCACCATAATTTTGGATAACCTAAAAGATCCCTTTTCCTGTAGAATACCTTCAGTTTTTGAACATGGTAAATAAGTGGGTCTAACTTATGTCATATATTTATAATATTAAACTCAAATCCAAACTGAATGTTTCAAAAAAAATAGTTCATAGTCTTGATTGTATTATAATTAGTTTAAACTGAAAAATTCTATTCAATTGAATGAATTCAATTAATTTATTTTGCTGAGACTTACCTATAATATTATATTTTTACATAACAATAATAATGCCGGTGACGGTGACGATAATATAAAACAATATTATAATACGTTAAAATATTTTATTATTATTAGTGACTGCATATATTACACTAATACCTTCATTTCGTACATTTTCCCGTTTTTCCTGGGTTTTCCAATGTAATGAGAAAATTCCTGAGAAACTCAAAAAATGACCACCTTAAAGTACCTTTCCAATCAGTTTTCCTTTCAAAAAAAGTGCTACATTTGTAAATCGGAGTAAAATTTCGATTAGAAAAGTTGTTCAAAAGGAAAAAAAAATTGTAAAACAAATACACTCAGAATCTAAAATCTGATGGGTGTGGCAATTTTTGTTGGTGGAAAGTAAAAAAGGTGGTATACCCAAAGTAATTTAATTTATATTTTTAAGCAACGATAAGTTATTGCTAATGAAAAACGATTCTGAACGAATTTCATTTAAATACGTTTTGAAATGACGTAATATTTATAATTTTCGTAAAATTTCGATTATAAAACTCTTACAAAAAATACTATATTGCACTTTTTTTTTTATCGCTAATAATGAACTTCCTAGAAAATTGTCAAACATTTCTGTTTAGTTAAAAAATTGTATCCACATAGAACCTATCAAATAAAAATTACGAAAAAAATTCACAAAGTTATAATGTCTAAACTAAAATATGGCTAAAATCTTTTGAAAATTCTACTATGTCTAGAAAAGGCAATTAAAAATGTTCTCTCTAAATTTCTACGAATATTTTTACTTGTATTACAATAAAAAAAACAAAATTTGAAATAATAAAAGCATTATCTTCATAAATTGTCCCGATATTTCTATGTTTTTGTTAGCTTTGCTCATTTATTATTAATACTATAGGCAAAATCAAAAAATAACATTATTCATACTTAAGAAATAAATTAGAAAATACGACAAAAAAGTTCTACAGTCTTTTTTTTTGACTAAAATAAGATTTTTTTAGTAGAACACATGTGTTACAAAAATGTAATATGAAATCGTCACATCGTAAGTCCGTTTATCCCTACATTTCTTCCCGATTTTTCCTAATTATTATGAAAACTGCTTGGAAAATCAAAAAATCAAATCAAATAAAAAAAAATTTCTTTTCGGCAAGAATATGACTTTACTTGATGCATCAGAGCAATATTTCTAGTTTACATTTTATACACAATATATAAAAATAATAGTGTCAATAATTAAGAGTTGATACTGGGAACGGGCATGTTCATTGTTGTCGGTGAGTAGTTGGGAAGATGGCGTACATAAAGTTATTTAATTTATACCCGTTACGTTACCAACGATAAACCACTGCTAACGAAAAACGATTCGAAGTGATATTCGGTTTTAAATATTTTAAAAGGTTGTAATATTTACGATTTTCTTCAAAATTTAATTTTAAAACAGAAAAAAATACTATACATTCAACTCAAATGTCAATAATGGCTCAAAGGTCTTTTGTTTTTTTTTTCCATTAGAGCAATTTTTTTGGAAGAAAATATAAGCAGTATAAATTAAAAATAATAAAATCGTTGTACCCTAATTTGAAAAAATCGTATATATTTTTTTTTTTGGTTTTGTCCAATTTATTATTATAAATAATTATGTAAAATACTTTAGATATCCAAAAACGACTAACTCTGTCAGCAAAATATTATAAGCAATGAAATCGATCTCATGTCACTTTTGGATTGGAACAATATTTCTGATACAAAATGTCGTGTTAACACAATAAAAACAATGAAAACGGTAGGCTGTAGATATTTACCTATACTTTTCCTTTGGGTTTTTCTTGGTTACTTCAAAAACCCCTCTCTAAATTAAAAAAATGACCAATACACTGACGAAAGAAAATTACCTTTCAGAATAGATGCTATAGTCTATGTAGTTCAAGCAAGCATTCTGGTGTAAGTTGTTAAGAGACACAAAATATAAAAAACACAAAAACACATATCATAGTAAAACAAAAAAATAAAAACCAGATCAATATTTAAATTTTTTTTTTGAATTTTATGCATTATGTAATAAAAAATTATTATCATTTTAAGAAGTCTGTACATAACTACATTGTGAGTTATTATAATATTTAAATATCACAAAACCATTATATTAATTTATAAAAGATAAAATAAATAATTTAACCAAAATATATTTATATTCATGAAATACAGACTGACAATTATATTTGTAAATCGTATTATTTGTTTATAGATATATAAAC